AGAGCAGGTTTAGAGTGGTTGACTGGGCTGTTCAATATTATTTTCAAGGCAAAGAGGATGCCAGACGAGTGGAGGTGGAGTACGGTGGTCCCATTGTACAAGAACAAAGGTGATATCCAGAGTTGTAATAATTATAGGGGTATCAAATTACTGAGTCATACCATGAAAGTATAGGAGAGGGTCGTTGAAGCAAGGGTGAGGATAACAGTGTCTATATCAGACAACCAGTTCGGGTTCATGCCGGGTCGTTCAACCACAGAAGCTATACACCTTGTTAGGAGGTTGGTGGAACTGTACAGAGAGAGAAAGAAGGATTTGCACATGGTGTTTATTGACTTGGAGAAAGCGTACCACAAGGTTCCTAGAGAAGTTCTATGGAGATGCTTGGAGGCAAAAAGTGTGCCGATTCCCTATATTATAGCAATTAGGGACATGTATGATGGGGCTAAGACTCAGATTAGGACGGTAGGAGGCGACTCTGAGCACTTTCCGGTTGAAATGGGGTTACACCAAGGCTCTGCGCTCAGTCCATTCTTATTCGCCCAGGTGATGGATGCGTTAACAAACCATATACAGGGGGAGGTGCCATGGTGCATGCTATTTGCCGATGACATAGTTCTGATCGATGAGTCACGAACCGGTGTTAACGAGAGACTGGAAGTTTGGAGACATACTCTTGAGTCTAAAGGTTTCAAGCTGAGTAGAACGAAGACGGAATACTTGGAGTGTATTTTCAGCACTGATCTGGGGAAAGTGGGCGTGGGTGTGAGGCTTGAATCACAGGTTATCCCGAGTAGAGGAAGCTCCAAGTACCTTGGGTCAGTTATCCATGGGGGAGGGGAGATTGATGAAGATGTCGCACACTGTATTGGGGTAGGATGGATGAAGTGGAGGTTAGCATCCGGAGTTTTGTGTGACAAAAGAGTGCCAACAATACTCAAAGGTAAGTTCTATAAAGCGGTGGTTAGACCGGCCATGATGTATGAGGCAGAGTGTTGGCCTGTTAAGATCTCACATAAGATGAAAGTAGCTGAAATGAGAATGTTGAGGTGGATGTGCGGGCACACCAGGATGGACAAGATTAGAAATGATGATATTCGGGAGAAGGTGCACGTGGCTCCCATTGATGACAAGATACGAGAAGCGCGGCTCAGATGGTTCGGGCATGTAATGAGGAGAAGCCCAGATGCTCCAGTGAGGAGGTGTGAACGGCTGGTTGTGGAAGGCACGAGAAGAGGTAGAGGGCGGCCTAAGAAGTATTGGGGAGAAGTGATCAGGCAGGATATGGCGAGACTTCAGATTTCCGAGGACATGACACTTGATAGAAATTTGTGGAGGTCGAGTATTACAGTTGTAGGCTAGGAGCTAGTTGAGTCTTGCAATACTTTATTCCATTGTGAGCCTAGTTTGGTAAGGTTTGAATCGAAAATTACTAGGGGCATTGTCGTGTCTTAATATTTTCTCTTTTCGGTGCTAGATCTATTTACTAGCCATCATTTCAGCCTTGTATTTTTCTTATGCATTTTAGGTTCCTATTTGTCCTATGATCTCTATGGTAAAACTAATATTCCCCCTTTTTGTTTTTCTTGTTTTTCTTATTATCTTGAGCCGAGGGTCTTTCAGAAACAACCTCTCTACTCCTTTGGGGTAGGGGTAAGGTCTGCGTACATACTACCCTCCCCAGACCCCACTTGTGGGATTTTCCTGGGTTGTTGTTGTTGTTGTATAACCTAGGAGGTTTAAGGCTTCCTCCTGCTGATAAAATCCTATATTTTTCTTACCGCAGATAATCTCAAGCATAACTACTCCAAAACTGAAAACATCTGACTTGATTGAGAATAATCCATTTAATGCATATTCCGGAGACATGTAACCGCTGCAGAGCTCCAAATAATTAATGATATTACGCAAAATTTGAGAAGTGATGGACTAAATGTAGTCAAGTATAAATATAAGAATCTTTGCGATACAAGATAAGCTTACTATGTTCCAACAATTTTGTTTGTATTTGCTTCCATATTATTCCCTTGGACAATATGAAATCTTGGGGTTCATCTCTTTATCTAATAATACATTGCTTGTTTTTAAATCTCTATGAATGATCCTTAACCTTGAATCCTTGCTAAGCCAAAATCTGAAATCTTGGGGTTCATCTCTTTATCTAATAATACATTGCTTGTTTTTAAATCTCTATGAATGATCCTTAACCTTGAATCGTGGTGCAAATAAACAAGCCCTCGAGCAATACCCAAGATGATAGAAAATCTCTTCTTCCAATCTAATAACACATGATATCTTTCGTCTTGTGTAGTTATCCTACAAAAAGATTGTAATTATCAATAAAAAAAGAATAGAAGTTCAATTTACATTTAGAATAAGGAATTAATCTTACGCGAAGAGTGCTTACCAAATATGAGGGCGTCTAAGCTTTTGTTTGGCATATATTCGTAGAGTAAGATCTTTTCATTCCCGTGGACGCAGTAACCAAAAAGTCTAACAAGATTTCAATGCTGAAGTCTTGCAATCAATACTACTTCATTCTTAAATTCATTTATCCCTTGACCTGATTGGGCTGATAACCTTTNTATATAACTGAGGGCCCTAAGCCCGGTCACTTGGCGCTCCCATTCAGCAGGAAATCCCGTTTCCTGCCTCTACACTTGCTTAGCATTTTAAAGGTGATACTCCCCTCCGCGCTAATAACAAAAAAACCCCTCAAAAATACACAAACCTCTTCATATGCACAGCCGCGTCTTCACACCGATTCTTTACACTCTGTTTTCTTTCAGTTTCTCTGTACTCCTCCATCCCTTTCACTTTCTCTGTACTCCTCCATCTCTTTCGCTTTCTTTGTACTCCTCCATCTCTTTAAACTGCAAAAAAAGCTTCTATCTTTGTGTACTTTATGAGAATAAAATGGAACCTTGGAAATTGTGTTCGTGCTTCTGTATGCTACCAATTAATTATTTGTTCTCCATGTTGTGTGTGAATTGAGTATTTTCTTTTATGCGAAGTGCCAATGTGCCGAGTGCTCTCTTTTCTCCTCACTGCTATTTGTTTTTTTTGTAATTCTTTTTTCATCAGTTCCATTTATCTTTCAATTTTCTTGTGTTCGCCCAATTGTACTGTAATCTTATTTGCCTACTCTATTTTAAAAAATTACAACAACATAATTTTAATACCATGAGTAACTAATATATTTATATTTGCCTACTCTAATTCTATTGGGAAAAATGGATGTTTCTTGCCCCTTGAATCAGCAACTACTGCTGTCGACTCAACATTCCAACTGTTGCATTTAATTAGGAAGCATGAAAGTAGCTTCAATTGTTGTTGTACCGCAAATATAAGAATAACATGCAGCCAAAAATAAATCTATGCTTTAAGCCTGTGCAGGGTAAAGATACTGATATACTTGGCTAATCTAATTTTATAGGTGTGGGGACACTATGATTGCGAAGACAAAACGTTGTTACGAGATTGAGGTACACTCCAGATAATTTTCGCCATTGCGATTTATGCACAATTCGTAACTACTGTTTCTGCACAAATTGATAACTACTGCTCTAAACATTCTTAAATACTACTATTACCATTATTATTTGCCTAATGAATAACGAACGAAGTTATTTATCTGAAGGACTGCTATTATCTTTTTTGGTAACGAAGTTCGACAACAACATCTCTCAATGAAGGTTATAGTTTACTCATATAGTTTTTCCATCTTCTCTACACTTTTGTGTTCTGTTTGAAGTGGCATAGGCATTTAACATTGCTACAATATTTTAATGATCAGAAAAAAAAAATACAACGGCATAATTATGATGGCCAAGAGCTGTATTTACCAATTTTATTGTACTATTGCCTTCTCGCCATTATCCAAGTCCTCTTCTCCCCCTCCAAAAGACACGCTTACCTGGAGCAAGTCAGTTTTATTATAATCTGTAATGTATATATAGAGAGAGGAACATACACTCAGTTACATGGCATTTCCAATTAGCAGGAAATGCATTTTCTCCCCCTCTATAGTTTTTCGCCTTTTATTTCACTGCCGAACAACATATCTTTCTACATAATGCTAACAAACCGATTCAGATACCCAGCCGTCCCTTCCCACATCGATTCTTCACTCCCTATTTTCATGCACATACACATCAGTTTATTCCCATAATGATTCTTTACTCTCTTTCCATATCCTTCCAAATACTTCATACTCTTTCATCTCTCTTTTAACACTATTTCTCTCTACTTTTGCCGAATTTCTCTATACTCCACCCTCTCTATCTTCTTTTTCCTGTTCTTTTTCCCCCAAAGTTTAAATTTCGTTCACTCCCTGCTAATCTCTATATTCTTTCATACATTTGTGTGCTATCATGTATCACATTGTAAATTACTAATCCCAGTCTTCAATGCGAAAACAAAACTACTGAACTACATATCTATATGTGCAATATACTTTACTACTCATTTGATTGAAATGTTTATCAAAAAGTCGACTGCATACTTTTACCATCAACTGATTGGAGATTTTAATTTTTTGGCCTTTTGTTAATTGCAGAAAAATAAATAGTGACATAAGAAACAAGGGCGCATTCCTTTTCAGGCAAGTTTCTATTATTATATACATTCTTCCTTACTTTTAAGATTTGAATTTTCTAAATATCTTTTAGCCTTCCTATCTTTACATTCTTTCTACTATTTCACCAATTGAGAAAGGACGAGTGAGAGTGAAAAATAGAAGAAGACATGTTGATATCTTTTTCTCTTTGTCTTGCTAAAGTTCTTTTCTCTAAATCCTTTAAGACCTTAAAGGTAATCACTTCTATAAAGAGAGCTTGTAATTGTATCACAATATATGACTTTGTTACCAACTTGATCTTCTTTAGAGAAAGAAAAAAAAAGGGGAATTGTAAGATGAAAGATTGCCTATTGTGTTGCAATTTTTTTGTTTTCTTGCTGATGCTTATTTTTTTTCTTCTCCATATGTTTTCTACTTTCAGGGATTTTAAAATGAGCTCAAAAGTGGAGAATATGAATTACTAAAGACAAGAGAAATGGATATTTGGTGCTTTTCATTTGAGAAATTCACCGGAAGATATGACTTCTCAGATTAATGGTAGATTCTAGAGTAGCAGTCCTTGAATTGGAGTCTTTACCTTCGTCCTTTTGAATATAAATAAATAAAAGAACTTTTCAATAGCCTTTTTAACGGCTAAGATTGAGAAGGATGATAATGTTATTGATGGTTGTTACCACAAACGACTGTAGTTGTAGCGAAGACTTACCTTACTGTTAGAGGCGGATCCAGAATTGAAACTCTATGGGTTCAAGTGTTAAGGTATTTAGCATTACATCTATTATATTTGTTAAGTTATGGTTTCATGTCTACTATCTATTGCAATTTTAGTGACGTTATACACATAAATTTATTATTCACTTCGAAAGTTATGAGTCCAATTGAACCCGTAACTAAAGTGGTACATCCTCCCCAGCTTACTGTCAAAACGATCGATGGCGATGATTTACTTGGCTGTTCGAACGACTTAATTCTAGATGTGGTATTTTGTTCCAACATATCGTGATTCTCAATATATTGATATGATTTCCTTAATCAAGATTCCAGCAGCCATAAGTCAAGTTGTTATTAACTTTACTATCTTATTTGTTCTGTGTCTCTTCTAGGCACATGATGTCTAAGCAAGGGTTGAATCCGTTGTTCCCAATGGAGGATATTGAAGTAATGGGCATTTGAAATGGCAGTCTACAGAAGTTGTTTTCTCTTTCAAGCCTCATGACTTTAAAGGATTCTCCTTCCGTTTCTTAAAGCATTTGCAGGGTGATGATATGCAACTTTTATGAGTTTGAAATAGATTTTTACTTTTTCCTTGTGCAGGGAGAAAATAAGGTATAGAAACAAAGGGAAATCCTTTTTGCTGCAAGATTCATTCAACAAGATGATGGTTAGCTCTCTGCCTAGCAACAACATTTGTTGATCATCCTGCCCTTGAAGATATATTGGAATTTCAATCATCACCTTTCATTTTTCATTCTTAACTCCTCTTTTTAATCATTGTTGCAGTATCAAATCAGAGTCACTCTATTTTTTCTTCTTTAAACTGTGTACCAGTGGGTCGATGTGGATTAATATAGAAAGTTGTCCTCAACTTTTAGTTAGAGGATGAAGATGAACTTCCTAAGTTGGACATTCAATTGAAGCCTCTTTACAAGTTAAATCTTTAGTGACACAATCTTGCGGGAAGACAGCCTCTTCAAGAAAGAAATTTTCATGAAAATATCTTTTTGTCTGGGAATAGAAAGAGTAGGAGATGAGTAAGAGGACTAAGAGGTTTGGAGACTCCTTAAGAATAGTCAGATTTAACATAGATGATGAAGACTTCAGTAAGAGACGGAGATACCTCAAAGTGAAATGTTGAACTCTTCAGTGATCACGTAAGAGACGCAATGACTGTTACTCTTTTTTGCAGTAACCTACTTCCATTGTTTCGTTGTTGAATTACTCTAAAGTTCTGAACTTTAGATTTATTTATTTTATTAAACTCTACACATCTAAGTTTTTATTAGTTACTGAAGGTGTTTCACAGTCTTTGAAATAGTTAATTTTTTTTTTTAACTTTAGATTCTTGATGCTCCTTTCTTCCTTTTATGTGACTACAAAAGTTGAGTTCTTTGTGTGAACTTTAGATTCTTGATGCTTGAAGGGTAACACAACTAAATGGGCAATTCATTGGTATCAAAGAAAAAATTTATGTATATAATGCAATTTACTCGGAGCACTATTTTATAAAAAATATTGATTTTGTAATATGCCACATATAATTAATTTTTATGCATATATACTTAAAAATTATCTATTCTATCTCAACTAAATCTATAAAAAAATTATTTCTAAATATACATTGCTGCTATTTATAATCGCGCGAAGCGCGGAAAATTCCCTAGTTATGTTAATAAACATAGCTCATAAATATAAGGTCTAACTAAGAAAATAAATGATACTTTGCAAGAACCTTATAAACAGGGCCAAAACCACCACGTCCTAGCTTATTTTCTTCTGAGAAGTTATCTGTTGCCGCTAGAATGCTTTCCAAAGTAAAGAATTGAATATCGATGCCCTTCTCATCCTCTTCGTTTATTAAGTCATTTTCTCCCTTTTCAGTGTTTAAGCAGTTGTTTGGCTGTGAATTTCCTTGATAGCAAGAAAAGATAGAATATATAATTGTGAATCTATAATTGATCAAGAAGAGAGAATTTGTATATACCTTTACTTCTTGCTCTCCTTGTTCTATAGAGTAGGTAGATAAAGCTACATAGAAAAAGAGTAGCGGCAATTGTAGTAGGAAAAACTACTTTTAGCCTTCTCGATTTATGTGTTTGGTATGCAACTGCAGTAGCAAAGATAGAAATAAATAAAAAAATAAATAACATAAAAATACTTGAAATAAATAATTATATAAATAAATAAATAGCATAAAAATACTAAATAGTACTCTCTGTTCATTTTATATCTAGTGTTTGGATAGAAGTGGAGTTTAAATAAGGAAAAACTTTTGAAACAAAACAATTCAGAGTACCCTTATAACTTGTGGTCTAAAATGTACAATTATATTTATATGGATAACTTATAACAGCATGTCATAAGTAAGAATAAAATTAAAGAGTTCACGAAAATAAAAAAAATGTGTCATACTTTTTTTAAATAGTATATAAAGAATGGAAAAAGTAATTCTCAAGGGAGTAATTTTTGACTACCTTTGGGAGCTGAAAATTAAGAAGCAGCTAGTGTGACATAAATTGTCATTCGACTAGTATCATTTTCGGAGAGTTGTTGCAAATTGAAAAGGTCTCCATCCCAAGTTAGACATTTGTTGCTATCAAAAGCATAAGCAGTGCAAGAGCAGTTATTGAGACAAGTGGATTCACATTCTGCTGCACTAGCAATAGTCCGAATGTGATTATCAACTGATAATTTCATATGAGAATGTATCTGGAACTTGTCCTCATTACCACAATTCAGACTTATTTTCCTCCCACAACAACTAGAGAAACTATTCAAATCCCAGTCTTTGTTTGATCTAGGAGTAAAACCAGGCAAACAATCACACAAGGGAGTAGTTGAGATTTTACTACAGACACCATATGCACCACAATAACCGTAAACATCACATGATTGTGTTGGTTGAACGAAAAACGAATTCCACTGCTTGGTACTATTCAACCACATCAGCTGCTTGAGTTCCCCTGTGACATCTATTATAAATCTTGACACGACTGCAGGATTAAAAAAATAATATGAAAAATAGACCTCATCCGTGTTGTTTATATACGTGAAATTGTGCGCGGGATTTGATTTTCTGCTCCAAGGTCCAGTTGACCAATATTCTACAGTTTTATTCCATCTAACAACGCTCCTACCGTTAGGCTCCATCTCAAGGGAAAAGAGCCCTGGACTAGGATCTTCAGGGTTGGTCCAAGAAGTAATTTATAAGAACTTGTTTTGTTTTTGTTCTTTTATTGTAGCCAAGTTTAGCCCCAGGCAAAAATGTGTGGCTCGGATGATCGAAACTTTGCCACAATAAATGAGACCATCCATTCAAAATCAAGTTCCCGTCATCACGAAGAATCGCCACCACAGGTTTTGTCGTGCTGGAGTTAATATTTGTCGACCAAATTGAGCGTCCACTCCCATTGAGCAGCACCAAGTTACTTTTTATAATTTTGAATTGTGCGGATGCCATTTCGGATAAAGAAAGAGGAGTCTCCCTATTTGCTACCCAAACTAGGTTTGTGGGGTTATATCTTTGTACCATATACCTATGTAATATTTAGAAAGATTACCTGGTTTGAAGAAGCCCATCTCAAATTTGCCACCCGAAGAAACTCTTGTTACGCTCATTGTTATGGTTTTGTCTGCATCGAGGGTATCTCCAGGGGACAAGGTCTCATTTGTAGCGATGGTGTTAGCTCCAAAACATAAGCACAAGAAGAGTACAAATTGCAGGAAAAAGAGAAATTTTTGATTTTTGATTTCCATGGTTGGTTAATTGCACTAGGCTGAGAAGAAATGTTTTTTAAAGAAAAAAAAATGAAAACTTGTTCCAAGGTTTGTCAAGTCAAAAAAATTTCCACACTTGAGTGAGACATTTCCCCCACCAACAACTTTTTTATGGTGAAAATTTTAATTTTATCTTTCTTATTTTTACATTTAATATTACACTGAAGAACAGAAAATTCTAAATATACTTTATGTACATGTATAGTTCCTTATTTTCTAAATAAAGTGCGATTAACATAGTTATATAAAATGAAAGAGAGGAAGAGAGTGTTAAGTTTTTTATTGGCTTTAAAGTTCAATATTATGAAGTGACATGAGTGGATAAATTAATTTTAAAACCCCACCATATTTAATTCTAAAGGTTTTAAAAACCTAACAAAGGTTTATCAAATATAAATATATTTTTCCTGTAATTGGTTTTTAAATAACACATAATCTATATTCAAAGGTAGAGATATGAAATATATGATCCATTTGACCATTTCAAACTATAGACTGAAATATTTCTTCTAACTGCAGTAGTATTTGTTGTTTACGGTTTTACAATAACTCTTAGGAAAGGGGTCATTCGGTAGGATGCAATAGAAAAAATAATGTATGCATTAGCTTTTGGTATTACTAATTATTTGTTTGATACATTTTTCAACTTATGTATTACAACAATAACATTTTGGGGAGACTCGAACTCACAACTTCTTGGTTAGAAGTGAATGTTGCTTACCATCAGAGCAACCTCTCTTGTCAATAATATGTATTATTAATGCAAATATTAGTTATACAATCTATTTGGTATTATCCTATGTATAACTAATACATAACAAATCATGGTATTAGCCATACCAAGGTTATTAATGCATGCATTACCATGTTTAAAAGTAAAATTATCCTTTAAGTCACTTAAAGCTAAAGAATATAGAGGGCATTTTAGTAAACAACTAATTTTCTTAAAAATTATGCAATGTATTTTAATTATTAATATACCACACCAAACATTGGATAAGAAACAACCTTTGCGTAACTAATGCTTGCATTACTGACTCATTTATTACTAATTCCTACATTACTAATACATCTTATTAAATACTATTCTTATGAATCCTACCAAACGACCCCTAAAGAGAGAAAGAAAGAAAAAAGCAAAATCGGATAAGTTCGTAGTACATTGCGTTTTTTATGGTTTCACGGTAACTCTAATCTAAGGAAGGAAAAAATGAAAGAAAGAAGCAAAGTAGGCTAAACTATTCCTACATTGTGTCGTTTTTGTGTCAACGTTTTTGGATTTATGTTTGTCTTCATAAATTACTTTCTTTGGTTCACAATTTTCCTGGCACTCAAGTCAAGTCATGTCGTTGCTCAAGAATTTGTAAAGTCTCCCACTTTAATTTGGAAAAAAAGAAAAAGGTCAGCACTTTCATTACTTTTTCCTTCTCTGGCGGGCGATAGCCTTGGAACTTGAAAGTAATGGAATGGAGATGACTCTTTTTTGCTATTTTTAAAAAATGTGACTCCCTCCGTTTAAATTAGAGGAGTTACTTTTTTTTTTTCGTCCGTTCTAAAATAAATGATATATTTTTAAATTTAAAAATAATTTAACTTTAAAATTTTCATTTTACTCATCTTACCCTTAATGAAATTCTTTTATGACATACAAATGTGTATTCAGAGAGTATGAGTACATGAGTTTATCTATGAGATACATTGCATTGACATGCACACATAACATACATGCATACAGATGCATTTTTCTCATATTGTACGGCATCACGTCAATCATGACTTCTCACACATATTGACATACGGGCATATAGAGGTATTTTATACTTGCGATCTGGAAAGAAATGAAACATCCTATTTATTGTGAAAATAAATTTTGAGAAAAATTACAGTTTTCAAACGTATTAGTATTTTTCGATGATTTCGATAAAGGATTTGAGTTTTCACTGATATACATGAAAAGAGGGACTATTTTTCGGGAAACTATGGAGAAGCTGAGCATTGAGAACTGGAAATAAATAAGTTGGTCCTATTACTCTTAGAAAAAATGGATAAATAACAATATAAAGTCTTGAAAGTGACTAATGTTGACCTATATTTTATAACAACTTAATATATACAAAAACTATAATGAGTCATTTGTTGGAATGAATAAGAAAAGAAAGAAAAAATAATTGATGACAACTTGTATAAAGTACATATCATCTTCTACTGTTTCTATGATAACCCGATAGGTCATCTAGAGTTTTAAATCATAATTCCATGTTTTGAAATCTCAAATACCTCATTTTAGCCTTCCTCGATTTGCATGTTTTAGTTCGGGTGCTTTTCCGGAAGGTTTTTATGTTAAAAATTGATAAAATATGAAATTTTGCCTTAAAAATCTATTTGAGTTGACTTTGGTCAACATTTTGAGCAAACGGATCTGGATCCATATTTTGACAATCTCAGTGGGTCCGTATCGTGATTTGGGACTTGGGAGTATTTCCAAAATCAAATTCGGAGGTCCCTAGGTTGAGTTTTTATATTTTTGTTGA